TACCAGTTGGTCTGGTAGAAACGTGGTAGGGCTCATGGACACACGCTTTGACATGAACACGCAGGAACAACTTTACATGCATGTGTTTATAGCTGCAGTGTCACAAGAATGAGCTGAGACAGTTGAGAATTAGCAAAGTTGCCATGGTTACTGCTGTTAACAATGTCCTAAAGCTAAGTTCCCCTCAGGCATTGTCATGGCTTCAGCCAGCATCTCACCACTCCTCCACTGGAAATGCTTTGATTATGATTCTGCTGATGATGCAAGTAAATAACTAGAAACTTTGGCTTTCTATCAGGTTAAAGGAATATACGATGCACTAAAGCAGTAAATGTCTAGATTGTCATCTGGAGGGAGTAATGAGCTCTGCTGTACCAGTGTATCTTGTATGTGCCAGTGGTTTGTTTCCTGTTCCCTCGCTGAGTCTTTGTTTCATGATGTTGTGGAGCGAAGGTCATAAAGTCAGAAAACAAACTACTTTTCATTCAGAATGCATGTTCCAGCTTTGGGGCATGTGCTGGGTGAAAGATTGGCGACAGGAGGAGGAAAAGAGGGCAACCAGAGAGGAGGTGGGTCTGATGACCATAAGGGAGTACCAGTAAATAAGAATTAAAAAGCATAAAATGCTCAACTTTCTGGCAAGGCTGCAGTTGTAACTGAAAAGTAAACATCTCTCCACTCGTTTAGTCATTAATTCAGGTAGACCTTGAGACTGAAAAAGTTGTGCACCAACAGTTGGTATCCTCTGTGGGCATAAAGAATCAACAGGTCTTTTATAGATAAATCGTGGGACTGAAGTTACATGGGAAATATAAATATTTCCTCCTACCATGAAAGGCAAGTGATCACGAGAGTGTAATCTACCTCACATTTCATAAAATTCAAATTTGACTAGCACCACGCCCACTTATGCCCCACCCTCCTCACACTTCCCCCGCATCATAACCCCTCTCACTATCCACCCCTAGCCCCACCTCCTCAACCCCTCCTCCACACCAACCAATCCACCCGTACTCACATAATGTGATCCAATCAGAAATGAAAGGTGGGTGTGTGCCTGTTTATGCGTCAGGTTGGGTTTTGGGTGGTCCCCTCTCATGGATCTCCCCCCCCCCCCCTATGGGGTTTACGTCCCCCTGTCGCACTCCCCTCCGGTGGTGGGTCCCCCCTGCCGTCGGCGTGTTGGTGACTCTTGGCATCTGCGGCTGGGTGCCTGGGTGTGTGCCAGCCCACCCTGGTGGCTGCTCTTTTATGTATGTGGATGTTTCTGTAAAGTGCCCTGAGAACACTTTGTTGTGATTTGGCGCTATATAAATAAACTGAATTGAATTGAATTGAATCTGCACCGGAGTAGCATGTTGACAGTGAGGCCTGTGAGCTCGTCGCTGCAGCCTCCTGGAGCTTCTGCATTGTGGCTGCTGGGGGTCGCCCGGGGCTCTCCTCTGCTTCTCTTGGGGGCGGGGGCGTTGGTGTCCCTGTTGGGGGACTCTTGGGGCTCTGGGCTTGGGGACTGTGGCTCCGGTCTTCCCTGTGTCGCCATCGTGTCCTGGGGGGACAGGTCTGTGAGGTCCCCACACCCACTATTGAACATTCTTATGGAGAAACCTTACAGTGACAAGCATGCTCACACTGGTGTTTAGATTCAGGTGTTTATCAGATACACCCTCAGTTGGGTTGCGGTGGCCACTAAATATATCTTGTAGTACCATGTACAGTATAAAATACTTTCCATTGATGTTATAACTCTCACTATGCATATGTTGCTTGTTGTGGTTTCTCAGTTTTGTCTTTTTTCTTGTCGCAGGTCTAGAGGCAGACTTCAATGATGTTGATTTGTGTTCTCTTTATCCCTCTCTCTCTCCTCTACTATCTCCTTCTTTCCCTTTTATCCTTTCTCACACTTTTTTGCTGTGTTTTCTTCTTTGTTTTTCATCCCCATGTCCATTACATCTGAAACAAACCCCAAAGCAAATTCTAATAAAGTTTTATTTTTAAATTAAGCAGAGCATTTTGGCCAGCCATAATGCTCCGCTTGTGAAAGTAAATCTGTTGGGCCTCACCTTGACACACAGAAAATAATTTTAAGTAAAAAAAAAAAACTTGAGGAAAAAAAGAGAAACTTAAATTGATATGCCTATTTTATGACTGTCTATTATTATCATTGTTGTCCACTGTTGTCATCACTCTTTGTTAAGAAATCAGGTCTCTCTTGTAAATGAGTCCTCGAGGCTCAATGGGATTAACCTGTCTAAATAAAGGTTGAATGAGTGCCACAGTGCCGATGAAAGGTGCAATTTCCAACCATTTAAATGTGAAGACAGTGCTTCGTTAACATTTGCTTAACAACATCCTGCTATCCAGTGACTGCTTTTTTTGTAACATACAAACAGAAGATGCTGGAGTGAAGATGCTCTAAATGGCTCTAATCCTGCACAAACTGAAAATGGATAAATATATTCAAACCCATAAACTACCCGTTTGCTGCTACCCACTATTGTGTTTTATTTTTAATTTATTTCAGTTTGCTATAGGATTTTGTCTACCATGTTAAAAACAATCTGATCAAAGTTAAAAAAAAAGTGTTTCTTCACTAAATAAAACAAGGAGTCCAATGCATTTTTTTTCTCATTTATTTATAAATTTTCCTATGAGGATGGCTGAACAAAGTTTACTGGAAAGGGTGTACTATTCACCCCCTCACCCTGATAGTTTTGGAGGAGATGAAAAGTTAAGGATTGGTGTACACTGATTGAAAGTGGGAAGAAACTCAGTGCTGAAAAAGTTAAGTAATTTCTCTCTGAGCAAGATGCATACACTCTTCATAAACCAGCCAGAATGCACTTTCCAAGACACTGACTTGTTTTTCTTTAGACCAGGGGTGTCAAACTCTCTCACAAAAGGGAGCCACAATTAAAACTTAGGTCAAGCTGAGGTCCAATTTCAGAAACTACATTAACTCAAGTTAGATACTCAACATCTTGTCTTGGTCACAGGTTCCTCAACAAGATTTTGATTGGTCTCATTTGATGTTCTCTGTTGAGCTTTCCACATAATAATCAAAGATTATTGTACCTTTACACACTATAACATAATTCAAATGAAAAGGTCTTCAGTCCTTTCTTAAAACTTTCTGTAGTCTCAGGTATCCTTAGATGTTCGGGGAGGGTGTTCCACAGATGAGGAGCAGCAGAGAAAAGGCCCTGTCACCCATGGTGCACAGTTTTGTCAGAGGAGGGTGGAGCTGATAGGAATTAGTTGAGCGGAGGGCTCATGTTTATGTCTGAGCATTGAGCAGTTCTTTAAGATAGTGTGGAGCATTGCTGTGAATGGATTGATGGGTGAGTAAGGAAACCTTGTATTCAGTGCAGAGTGAAATGAGAAGCCAGTGGAGGGATTTAAGGTTTGGGGTGATGTTTCTCTGTTTCATCAGGATCCAGGCAGCACTGTTCTGTACATACTGAAGTTTTTAAATGTGCTTGGATGGAATTCCATAAAAAAGTGCAATGCAGCAGTCCAGTCTGAGGAGATGAAAGCATGGACAAGTTTTTCAGCATTGGAAAAGGAGAGTATTGGACTGAGTTTGGAGATGTTTTTGAGATGAAAGAAGGAAGTCTTGCAAAGGTTTTTAATATGAGATTCAAATGTAAGATGAGAATCAAATCATACACCAATATTAGTCACTGTATCAGAAAAAGGAATGTTTGGTCAGAGAAGATTATTGTAGAGATAGATGTTGAGTGAGTCTGATGTGGGGTACCAACCAGAATTGCTTCTGTTTTTGATGTGTTTAATTGGAGAAAGTTGGCGTTCATCCAGGCTTCTTTTTTTTTAAAGACAGGTGGTCTTGATGAGGTAGAAGCATGTAATAAATGAGTTTCTTTTCTGAAACGACTGACAACCCCCCCAACTTTTTCAGGATATTCTGATTTTTTTGAGCTGCACCTGTTGATGGATACTGGGGTGTCTTGAATTTCAGAACTGTTCACTTTGATATTGTAACACATCTGAAGTGGGTGTAGTACCTGTCAAATTAGAGTTTGACAAAAAGTGCGATATATTACACTCCATCATGTAAATGCCCATCTTAATTTGTTTGCATGATTCATTTTTCCGTCAGCCATTTTATCTACTAAAATCTATCTTCAAATAATCTACAAATTTCTGTTGCACTGGTTTGCAGCATTAAACAGTACAATAACAACCATTTTCAGATACCAACTTACCATATTTTTTTTCTGCTTTTCTTCCAAAGCTCAAAAACATACGTTAGTTTATTTGATAACTCTAAATTGTCCCTGGGTGTGAGTGAGTGCATAGATGTATCTTTTTATATTCATGCGTCCTTATCATATGACCTGTCCAGTTTTCGTATAGTGACTGCAGGAGAAAGGCACCAGCTCATTGTGATGACCCAGAAAGAAAGTTTCCAGTAACAAAATGAATGCGTGGATGGATTTTCTCTGCTTGTCTAGAAGACTTGAACAGGTGTTAGAGCCTCAAGTTGTTGCTTTCTTTTATAAAGCAGCACTTCTATTCACCGCAGACTGCAGAGGATTAAAGTCCCCTCTGGATCTGGTGTCTCAGCCTTTTGTCTGGTTTTTCAGCACTTGTTATTGAGAAAATCCGAATCATGTCGCTAAATGTTTCGTCATTACACACACAAACACACTCACAGTACAAAAACAGCATATATGCACAGGAAGGGCAAGGTCTTGCAAACCCACATGACAGCAGTAAACAGAGACAGTGATCCGTAAAGACAAAGTGCTAACGGGCAGTCATACAAGGTGATCCTTTGGTACTGAGAGCCTCTCTGAACAGGACAGATTCTTCTCCTGGGAGTTAAGCAGTCTCCCTAGGCTGGTGTCACAGCCTGGGGATTAGTTGTGTTTACTGCAGAATGTCAAACACACACATGCTTGCACGGGCGCACACACACATACATCTCAAGGTTCAGAAATGTTCCCCTGTGATGAGATGCTTTTGTCTCTTCCCTCCAGGTACATGGGTGACATTTGGAGGACAGATAACAGATGAGGTAAGAACAGTTCCCTACATTTGACGTGTTTGTTTCACCTGAAAATTATCCAGTCACTGGGTTATTCCCTGGATGAGTGATTTTGTGTTACTCTTTAACTCAATGTATGAAGACATCCTTGTTCTAAACATGCAATGATACAAAAAACAAACAAACATAAATACCTAACTCAAACAATTATCATGTTCAACATTTAATTTGAATATTGTGAAATTGCTGCTATCATATTCATAGAGATAAGAAAATTTTAACCAATACAATCTTGTAAGGAAGCTCATATGTGGAATGACTGGTAATAAAAGTCAATAAAACTCCATCAGGACACTTGAGTTTAAGGTTGGCATGCCATTGTTGTTGTTTTAGTCTGGGTCTTGTGAAATAAAGTATTTGGTTTCAGTTGTTGGCAATTAATCTACTTGGTTATAAGATTTTCACCCAAAACCAGTGAGATCTTTTGTTTGACATATTGAGGCGGCTGTGGCTGAGTGGTTAGAGCAGTCGTCCTCCAATGCGAGAGTTGGGGGTTCGAATCCACCAGCAGTCACATGCTGAAGTGTCCCTGGGCAAGACACTGAACCTCTCATAGCCTCTGATGTGTGTCCCATCGGTGTATGAATGTGATCTAAAGCTCTGATTAGTCTCATTAGAATGACTTGTTCAATTAGCCTTGTAGAGATCTAGTAGAGTGTTGTATGAACGGGTAAATGAGGATACAGGTTGTACTGTGAAGTGCTTTGAGTATCTTGAAATAAGATAGAAAGGCACTATATAAGTACAGTCCATTTACCATTTACATATATACATATACACACTTAGAGCCCCCCCTCTCTCTCCCTATATATATATATATATATATATATATATATATATATATAGGGAGAGAGAGAGAGAGAGGGAATTCATTTTCACCATATATTTTTCTATTAGCTGCTGTTTGTTAAAGGCTTCAGTAGCAGCTCTCGTCAGATTTTATTGCAGCACTGTCTAACTACATTGAATATGGCTGAGCAATGTTTCTTTTAGGAAAATGATTCTTCAGCTGATAAATCCAGCGTAAGTGGGTCCCATTATTAGCCATAACCAACGACTATTATAATTGCTGCTGAAAACATTTCTGTTAAAGATGCACACTTGTACAATGAACTATAGTTGATAGTCGTGTGATCACAGTGATTATATCTCTAAAAAGTTCGGGTCATTTCTCCTTACATGGTGAAAGTGCCACTACCTGATATAGATGAATACCTGTGGTCTTCCTTAACATATGACATGTTGCAAGGCACCATGTAATAAAAATCTACATATTTACAACTTTTTAGAATATTTAACTGCCTTCAAGACATTATCAAATGATGAAGACAATTCCCCACTGGAGAATAATTTTCATTCATTCATTCAACCTTTAATGGAGTATAATGTTAGATATTTTTATCTAGACTGGTCCTGGGGTTTTGATCTGCTCAGAAACGGGATTATAATGAAATTATAACCCGGATCTGACTGGGTTATACTGGGCCAGCAACTCTAAAAAGAGTGTCCCTGGGATTCAATATCTGTCAAGGAATAGAGTTTATTTCTGCTTGCTACATCACGTAGAAAGGCTTGAAGCACCGTCTCATATTTCCGTACACGTCAGTCTATGTAAGATCCATTGAGATCACACTTAGTCACGCCCCCTCATACACTGACAGGCTGAGCTCACCTTCTGTGAAGGAGGAGTCTAGGGCCCTATAAATGAGTAATGACACGGGACATCAGGGCTCTTCCGGGTTTTGTGATCTTGTCACAGACCGGAGAGACCTTAACCTTTTCCTGCCTTGATTTTAATACAGTTGGTAAAACTGAATTTATGTTTCCTTGATTTATTGTTAGTATGAGTTGCCACTTCTGAGGGAGATTTGAGCCGGGGGGAGAGACGTGGGCTGGAGGTGGGTCCGGGTCTGAGAGGGGGCCTCTGGGTGACCGGTGGCCCACAGCCAGCCCCTCATCCTAACAATAATATAAACCAAACAAAAAAAAAAAAACTGATGAGTTTAGTTAGATCAGCTGTTTACTCAAGCTACACACTAAAAAAATGCTGATCAAAAATGTATCCTGATTAACTTTGTGCTGGGTCAAATTTGAAATAAGCAAATTAATAATTGTTAATATCCTATCTGTAGAACCCCACCCTAAACGATTTGAACTACTTCTTTAAGTAATTATATACCTTCCACACTTTGTAACTTGAACTTAAAGAGACAAAGGTCACACTGACGCAACATCCAGTAATATGAGTTCATGCGTGACCATAGGTCCTCTTCATGCTTTTGTTGAATTACATTAATATTTTCTGATGCTCCTCTGGGGCTTTTGCCATCAGATACATGTGCACACACTCACTCACATAAAGTGACATAAAAGAGGACAAAGCCTATCCCAGGGGACAGACCCCCAAAAAGCTTATGCAACAATATTTTAATTATTATTATTATCTCTGTTACCTCACGGTTAAGTGCCATAAGCCAACACAAACCCTCAAAAGATCAGCGCATTTTCATTTCATCCTAATGAACCTCCCCAGTGTCAGCACCAAAGTCAGACTGGAACAGCTGGGGTTCTTTGGGAAAAACATGGTTGGGCTCACTCACAATCACTTCTAAACATTTCAACAACGACACAATGCTTTAGGCAGAGACACACGTCAGTGAATTATCACTATTAGAAAACATCCACGAAAGAGGACATTGCAGCTGTGAGTTCTACCATCCCATTCAAAGCTATACTGGGTTAGAAAGTTCTGTTCCTCTGCACTGGTCAGTGTCACTTCTCTCGTGTCCTTAGTTTACGAAATGACCTCAGCAGAGCTCAGGGTTCCTGTTGGAGAAATTCTCTCGTTCTATGACGTTGTTTACTCAAAAGAACCACAACTTACAGCAGGCGAAAACATTTTACCTGAATTTTACTTGCAAGGTTTGTTTGTTTGTTTGTCATTTTTATTCATTTCATATTTAAAACACAAAAACAATTTAGAAACCAAATGAGAAAAAAAACACACGTCATAAAATGAAAGGTAGCAGAAGAAGAAAAAATCTTATCATATCTGCCCCTTGTTTAAAACACAATCAATTCAAACAATCAATTCAAACAATAATCATCTATAAGTAATATAACAAAATAAATAACTCATCACAATTTTACGTATTTATATGTATCTTTCCAAAATTTTAATCTTAATCATTTTCTTAAATATAGGCAATGACTTTACGTTTTTTACATCGTTTTCCAAACTATTCCACAGACCTATTCCCTGAATTGAAGTAGACCGCCCCTTTAAACTGGTTCTGTACCGTGGTTTAACAAAAATGTCTGTTCCCTTAAGATTATAGCAACTTTTCATTTTTACAAAATACGTTTGAATGTTTGAAGGTAGTGTGTAGTTCTGAGCTTTATACAGTACTAAAAGAATATTATAGTTAACCAAATCATGAAACTTAAGTAATTTCAATTGATAAAATAAAATACTAGATGGATGACAATAATGCTTTCTTGTGGCTGTCTATTCTATTCTATTCTATTCTATTCTATTCTATTCTATTCTATCAGATAGTGTTTTGTGAGATGGTTCGGCTTGTTTTGGGAGACAACCAAGCTTCTTGTTCTCGGGGCAGAGGGGAAGAATGTTCTCAGTTATAATAATAAAAACATCATTAACCTTTTACCACAAATTCCCTGACAGTTCCTGTCCTCATTAAACCTGGATCTAATCGAGCTTTGACTGTTGGCATCAAATTGTGATCAACATTTGTGAGGAACTTTCCAAAATGTTTCAAGGATTCTCAGTGGGGTTTTGTCACGTGAGCTGCAGAGCATCACTCCCATGTTGCTGGAATATGAAACATACGTATGACTAAAATGCAACAAAAAATCATTTCCAGCAACAACGTTATTTGTATTTAGGGACATTTGCAGTGATGTAAGCACCAATTCAGTGTTATTCTAAAGAAAATGTGTCATTTCTTGCTTTTTTGTGTTTCTAACTCCCAACACCTGCAGCTCAGTGAAATACATCCATCAGAACAGTGGTTCCCAAACTTCTCAGCTTTTAACTAGAGTCCGTCCAATATTATGGTAGGACTGATATTTGAGGTGTTTATATATATTATTGGCGTTTGGCGACATATCTGTATCAGTGACACTTGGCCCATTATGCACCAATATAAACACTTCTAATTTTCAGTCAATTATCATCTGAGTTTGTTACGGCTCCTCAGATTGATGAAGTCTTTTGGATGAAAGACGAAATGTTTCAACAAAAATAAACTCTCAGAGGACCTGACTGAACTTTACTGGGTTTGTCTTTTACTTCTCTGCAAATAAAAAAAACAACTTTGCTGCGGTCAGTACTACTTAGGCCTTCACCCTACAGGACCGACTGTTTAAACAATGAACAGAGAAGGTGTTTGTTTAATTTATACGTTTGTAACACACTTGATAACTTCATGGTGAATAGTGGAGGATAGAAAATATGAATACACATCAGGAAGACTGTTTCAACACTAAAGCTAAAAAAAAAGATTTCAGCCAATATATTGGTGAACGACATTAGCCTTCTCTCCCAATGCTAATATTGTTGTCAGCCAAAAATTTCATATCGGTCAGGCTCTACTTTTAATCCACCAAATTTAAATTGAAGAGATTATATATATATATATATATATATAAAATTATCACTGCTATTGTTATCTCTTAGGGCAAAAACAGTCTGTCATTAGCAAAGGTAATTTGATTTCTGTAGATGTTCTCAAGACCCTCCACTTGCTTTTTCACAGGGAGTGTGGTCTCCCAAACCTTGGGAACTAATATGTTAAAAAGTGCACAACTTTGGTGTAGTATGTAGTAATTTATGGAAAAATTGGACACTGACTTCTACATATAAATGTCAAATGCTAAAAAGCATTGCACGTTTTATGCATTATTTGCTCAATAAAGATGTGCTATTGGTCTTTTACCTACGAATCATGAAGTTTTTAACTATATTTAAACTCCATAAAACAAGTGTGTTGCAGTTTGTTTCACCACAAGACTAAAAGACTGCTTGAGTGTGGTGATAAGCAAGTTGCTTACTCACTCAAAAAGGGCAAAGTGCTTCCATAACTCGCACAGTGAGTTTGAATAAAGCATCTCTTGTTGACTCTGATGCTGCGAGTTTGGATTAGAGGAAGCAGCACAGTCATAGAGTCATCTCTCAGGGATGTGTGGGTTGTGTGTAGGAGGCTACCGCTGCCTGGTTTCTGTGGTTGCTTAAAAAAAAGAAGCAGTTTTTCATTATATTTCTCCCAGCTACGTAAATCTGATTTTCACCCTCCCTTTGTGCCCCTGAACACAAACAAAGCCAAAGGAAGGAAGCCTGAGGCGTTGCCGCGCAGGTATTTCTGCAACCTCACTGTGACTCAGTGATGATGGAGTTGCAATAGTTTGATGTGTTTATTCTACAAACAGATTATTTCTACAGTTTGTGCTCAACTTTAAAAAAAAAAAAAAAACCATCTCACCATCTGACTGCCTTCAGTCAGAGTCAGCTCGTGTAACAGGTCTCCAAGTCAGACATAAGGTGGGACAGTGAGTAAGCAGTGATGCTTCATCACAACAACAATGTTTTAGACCCTGAAAGTGTCGCTTTAGGTTCGGTTTGACAGTGATTGGCCTTTAAGACTCGTGGTGGAAAAACTGTTTCCTTTGGAAGCTGATTATTGTTCTTGTCTTTATCAGAATACTTTTTATATAGAAAAAGGTATTAGACCATGAGGATGGATAGTGCTATGGGGGGGGGGGGGGGGTGATAGACAAAGCTTTTTCCTTAGTTTGCCCATGTCCCAGGAGAAATTTGATAGTCGGCCTGTTATATCCTTTCAACACAGATTAAATGTTAAATATGAATATTTCTATATTTACCACCACAGTAATATTGTTACACATGTTAGTAATTATAAACACGCAAAATAATACATATGATGGTTTAGTGTTTACCTTTTAACCTAATTATTTAAGGAGTAAATGTTTTTAATAATCACGTTAAAGGTTACAAATGTTGTATTTGGTGCCTGTTTGTTTTCTAAATATATTAGTGTGTGTGTGAATGACAGGGATTAACTTAAAGCGCTTTGTAGAACAGTGCTTTATGAAGTTCAGTCCATTTCTTTATACTGGTAGACTGGCAGTTCTGCCACATTTAAACTGGCGGACGCTCTGACGTACGATTCAGCTCTCTTTGAGGCGTCTACGTATTTATGTCTATGGTCCAGATGACCTGACTGAACATTGTTGGATCATTACCTGGATTATTGAGCATGAATTTAAGTCTTTTTCAACAGAATTTCTGCTGCTGTGGGGTGATGTTTTGTGTCTCAGTAATTTTCTGGCGTTGTATAAAAACGAGTTGTGGTTCAATAAAATTCACACTCTTAGGAGACCCTCTGGCAGAAGTACATCAGAAATTATATTTACTGCTAGATTTAAAAAAATGCAGTTGCACAGCTTTTACAGAACATTATTTTTTTCTTACTTTCAAACGGTGTCTTGGTAAACTTTGTATAATTTAAATTATACATCAGTCTAAAGATTGGCTCATATGATTTTATAATGAGCATTTCCCACCATGAAAAGGTATAAAAAGAGATTTTCAACAAAACAGAAAAGAATGATGACTGGAGCATCCAGATCTTTTTACATCCTCCATGTGTTACTCTTTGTGTGTTTGACTCAACTACTGGGCAGGTTGCAGAGCAGCTAATGACCATCGCCTATGAGAGTGGAGTCAACTTGTTCGACACAGCCGAGGTCTACGCAGGCGGCAGGTGAGACTCAGACTCTGTGCTCAAATGAAGCTGAGCTGAAAACAGTCAGCTTTAGTCTGATCGGACACAGAGGTGTTTTCCTATTCAAACCCTCAGAAGTGCTTTTAATATTTACATTTGCCCTGCAGGTTTAAGAAACAAGCATCACAGCTTCCTTTATGTAAAGTTTGTGAGAAGTTCTGAATTATGTATTACAATAAACAACCTTAACAAATACATTATAAACAGAACTACATATTTAAGGGATTGTTTCATTTAGGCAATTATTACTCCACCTTATACATAAATACATACATACAGTACATACAGTACATACAGATAGATAGATAGATAGATAGATGGATAGATGGATAGATGGATGGATGGATGGATGGATGGATGGATGGATGGATGGATGGATGGATGGATGGATAGATGGATGGATGGATAGATGGATGGATAGATAGATGGATGGAATACATAAATACATACATACAGTACATACAGTACATACAG